CCGGCCCCCGGCCCCTGCCGCGCGCTCCCCCGCGCAGCCCGGCTCCTCTCAGGCGCAGCGACTCCCTCCCGTGACGTCACGGCCATTGCCGGCGCGCGCCCCCCCCGCTTTATTATAAACCCTGGGTTTTTTTCGCCGTGCAACGCGAGCCCCCATTGGTGGCCTGCGCGGCGGAGGCCGACGCCAAGAAGCCGGCAGCCAATGAGCTCCGGGGACCGGGGACCTTGTCAGCTTTTGCGCTGGGCTGCTCTTTTTTAGCATCGCCAGGATTCCTTCCCCAGTCCGGGGCTGAGCGCAGTTGCCAGCATCACCGCCACCATCACAATAGTAATAGTAATCATAATCATAGTAGTAATCATAATAGTGATGATGATGATGCTGTGCCCTGTGTCAAGAGCTGGGGAGGAAAAAACGCAGCGGTGCTGCCTCTGCCTATTATTTTAAGGGGGGCGCTGGGGTAATGGAGGGCGGGGCAGGTGGGGGAAGCCGGGCAGCATGGAAATGAGACGCAGCTGCCCAGCCCGCTCCGTCCATCTCGCATAGGTGGAGAAACGGAACTGCACATAAGCCAAGGAGACCATCAAGCACGAACTTTCCAAGACCTGCTTGGCCCTCCGCCTGCCCGGCCCGGGGGAGCCTGGTAGCCCGGTTTCCAGGGCACGCCGGGCTTTGCCTTTCTGCAGGAGGAAATGGAGGGCTCCAGCTCGGAGCTGAGCTCTCCGGGGGAAGAGAATTTAAGAGGAGAGGGAAGCCTGTCAGAGGGCGAGAAGGAGCCAGTGCAGCACCCAAGGTGGGCAGGCAGGCAGGCAGGCAGGCAGGCGAGGGAGCCAGAGGCGTAAGCGACCGCCGAGGCTGGGGACTGGCTTCCCTTGTGCGGGGCTCTGCTTGAATTCATTAGCCCGCGCGCGCTCCCGTTCTGGTTCCTCCTCGTCTGAGCAGCTCAGTCGGAAGGGGAATGGTTACTGTCGATCCGCCTGGGACCGCAGGAAATTATTCCACTGATTCTTTGGAGAGTATCAACTTGTGTTAATTTCTCTAGGACGACTCCAACCTGTCTCTTGTTGAATGTCAGAGTAATGGGAACTGCCAGTGACAAGACGTCGTATTACTCCTGATTAAGTACCGTGTCAACCTAATTAGCAGAGTAATTATAAGGTGCTAATGAATGATTCAAAGTTCTCTGAGTTACATTTTATTTCGAATTACCATCGTAAGGACCCCATGAATCTGAGGTACACCGGGCTGGCATCGCTGCCATGTCAGTCTAAAAGAATATATTTCTTAACCCATCAAATGGCAGCGAAAAGCCTCTGAGCTTTTTTTTCCCCTTCTTTCCTTAAGCTGCATTAATTAAACAACCGTAAAGCGGGCAAAGGAAAATATCTTTTTAAAATGACATCCAAGCATCTCGATGATCTGCCCTCCCCTCCTGCAGAAAAAAACAATGCCGAGCTGATAGACTGGAATGGACGGGATTGACAAAAATGTAACCGGGGGATGTGCGGGGGCGGGGGCCGCTGAGGAGGCGTGTGTGTGTCGGCTGTGCCCGGGCAGATGGAAAGAGATACGGGAAAATAATAGGGGGAGGTAAAACAGGATTAGCTCAGGCAAGATATTTAGAGGCGTAATGCTCGGTGATCGCAATAGATAATGCGCTAGAGGAGAGGTATTCACGCTAAAACTGGTATAGTTCAATAGTTCAGGAGAAAACCACAGGGGAAAAAAGGGAAAAAGAAAATGGGTAAATAAAGTACCTGAGTCAGGGCTGAGATAATCTCCTCTGCGGACAGGTGTCTATAGAGAGCTTCCTTTTGGTAGGAACACAAAAAGGCTTCGCTGTGATGGCTCTTAACGCTTAGCTGAAAGCATCCTCCTGCCTTGACTTCCCCGTCCCAGCAAACCCCCCTGTAACAATCTCTTGCCATAGGTCAAGCTGAGACTCATTGTAGTTATTGATGGATTGCCGGGTTAGGCAGGAAGCAGCCTGAAAAAGGTCGCTATTTTTTTAATGATAGTTTATTTAAGCATGAAAATTCCTGCCTAATGCTACTGAGATAATTAATCCTAGGTGCAGAGATGCAGCAGTCACTTCTCCCCTCTGTACACAGCGACTGGCATTTACTATAAACTGCCGAAAAAATGTCACTGGATGGCAGTGATGACACTAGCTAGGATTCTTTGTCAAATTTATACTAAAAAAAAAAAAAGATTCAGGGCATTATTTTTACTGAGCGAAGCCATCAGCATTCCGCTGTGCTGGGTTTCCTAAAGAAATACCCGCATTAAAAGTTGGAGGAAGATTGGTTTCACAGGGGAAAACACATAAAATCCGAGTCTGAGTGATAGCACCACATAAATCAATTATTCCAAATCCTTTATAAATAATTCATTTAAGATTGTTTTTGTTTTGTTTATACGCCTAAAATGACTGAAAAGTCAAAACCGCCCATAGCACAGCTTGTGTTGTGTGGTTAGAAATGTTATCGACTAGTAATATTTAACTACATTGGCAAAGAAATCAGCAATTTGATCCAGTGGAGGAGGATATGTAGGGCGAAAGTATTTGTTCTGCTAAAGTATTCCAGCCATGCCAACATTTACATCTGTCCGCTTCCAAACAACGTATGGAGGGCATCATGATTCTCACAATACTTATTAATTACATTATTTTTGTGCGCGTGAAAAAGGGAAGCCGTGATTCAAACGGCATTTCAGGAGCCCTCATTTAGCTGAGGCTTCTGTAAATATATATCTCAAAAGAAAAATAAGGCAGCCCAAGGTGTAATTCCTGGCTTTGATATTAACCAGAGGCTTGTACTCGAGACTTAAATTCGACATCTGACCATTCATCGCTCACAGGTAAGCCTGAAATACATCGTGCATAGGTACAGGACGGAACCTTCATTTGGGGCAATACCTTCTTTATTCTTGCACCAACTCGTTCTTTTTAAAATACCCATTTTAAAATATATATAATCGAAGAGCAGCTGCTCTGAAGGAAGCCTGATTTCAAACGCAGTGCACTTCACCTCGCCGCCCTTGTGTCCGACCAGCCTCCTCTGTTCCCAGGACTCCCGGGGTGTCTCCTGGAGCGCTGGCCGGGCCTTGATCTTGGTTCACTTCATTTTAAGCCCAGAGCCTATTTCTTGCGGTTTTCTTCAAGCGTCAAAATAGACGAACCGCCTCCTGCCTCATCGGCATTTGGGACCTTTCCGTGCTAGAGCAAAAGCTTTTGCATTGCCAGCTACCGATCTGCTCTAGAGACACAGAGAGAGCTGTCCAGTCCCTAGTCCTAAACGGCCTCAAACGTTCAGTCTGTTTTTATTGCACCTCCTCGGCCAGCGCAACCCATTTCCTTGTTGACCTAGCCTGGCTTTCGCATCTCCCCTATTTAGTCTTGATGTTTGGGGTTTGTTTGGGGTTGGGGTTTTGTTCCGACGCGGCAGCAACGTGGTTTTGAAAAGAGTAGAGCTGCGAAGGACAACAGCCATCTGTTCCCACGGCAGGCTCGTGGTGCGGTGTCTGCTCCCTAGACATGTTTCACGGAGACGTTCCCTAATCAGGGTCCAGCCCCTGCAGACAGGGAGCGGGGCGGGGGTGCTGCAATGCCGCCCTTGCCCGCTGGGCGGCGATAGGGGTCACCTCCAGGCGCCCATTGTCTCCGGGAGCCCTGGGCCCCGGGGATAGACTGTGCGCGCTTGGAGCGGGGCTTTGCTGCTGTCGCTTACGTCCCCCTTGGCAGGCGGCAGCAGAGCGGGCTTTCTTTAGACAAGCGAAGACATCGGTCGGTATTTGCACCTTGCAGGCATGCAAAGCGGGGCGCCTCGTCGGAGTAAAAAAGGAGAAAGGAAAGGGCTGGAGAAGGCAGACCCAAAGCAGGACCCCGAGCCGCGTCCCGAAGCCCCCCGCACCGAGGACGGGCTGCCGCCGCCCCGCCTGCCCTGCCCGAGGAGCGTATCCTAACTGCCCCTCGGGGAGTGGGTGAGCCGAGATAAGATGTTCCACTGCAGTAATCCTTTAACCAACAATGCGCTCCCCCGTCTCAGGCTCCGGCTTTAGGGCTTAAAGCCGCTCAGCGAAGAGTTAACACTGGGGGGTGGGGGGCAGCACTTTCACGGCCTTCCCTGTCTCGGGCACGTTGCTGACACGCGCGGGAGCAGCACCCCGGGCAAACTCCTCTTGTTTCTAACCCTAGGGCCGCTCAGAGCCGTGCCAACCCGCTCCTACACGAAGGCGGCTAGTCCGGATCCGGGACCGAGCAGACAGCGCGACCCAGGCGGGTTATGCGGGGCTCCAGCACAAGCCCCGAGT